TGTAGTTTCTTTGTGTTGTGTGAGACCTTTTGAGAACATCTCAATGTATTTCTGCTCTATTCTCCTCCTTGTTTGAAGGCAACTGACATTCTTCTTTCACTTTTCTTTTTGTTTGTGAAATTTTCTCCTTTTTTTTATCCACTCACTTCTCCATCTGCTTTCACTTTTGTTTGCTTGGGCCGTCTCTCATCCCAACTTGATAATGAGGAATGCGGTGTGACCCTGACCTCTATCAGCCCATGCATGACCTTCTGACTCCCCCACATAACCTTTGACCTTCTCTTTGACAGCTTGATTAATTACCCTGTGTTATGATTTATGAGTAAGTGCTATGTAAAAATAATAGACAACAGGTGGTCCTCTAAAAACTTTTTGCGGCATGTTTTCTTTTCCTGCCTAACTTGATGAGCTATTTTAAGTTGGGAACTTAGTGGGACAATATGTGTTTGGCAGTAACACGGCATTTTTACACACTTGGACACAGTGCTGGAATTCAGGCAGCTGAGGTGTAGCTGGGATGGAAATATCGCAAAGTATTAACAGGGGGCAGTTGCCAAAATGTACATTGGGTGGAAACAGAAAGCGGAGTCAACTGACATTTCAGGCATTTCAGTCTCAGGTCACGTCTTGAGAAAATTGCTCAAATAATGGAGGGGGCATTTTTCAAGCTGAGCTGCATCTCCAACAGCTATGTTTACTTTAACGCTTCACTAGTGACTTCTGATTGGTTGTCATGACCTCATCCCACTGTTGCACCTACGATGTCGCAACAGTGACATAGATGTACCCTTCTCGTGGAAAAGATGGGAAATGAACAGAACATACATCTTTCAGAAAGATGAATGGACATGGCTGTGTACGCTTTAACCACAGGCGGGTTTAAGAGCTGAGCGCTTTGAGTTGCATTTCCCTTGGGAATTAACTCCGGTCTTGTTGCCAACGATCCAAATAGAAACCTGAACTTGAAAATTCAGGTTGATAAAGCTTAGGAAAATTGTCTCTTTCAGACCTTTGCTCACAGTCCAAAAAGATAGTTACATAGGTCAAAAGATTCCTCGCCAGCCCTGACCTCTCTGGTCGCATATGGTGTCCCATCTTGGTGGATTAATATGCAGAGCTGAATGCTTTCAGCTCATTATTCATGTGGCCAGGCAGAAGAGAATTCAAAAGATTTGGAATTTACCTCAATTACTTCGGGGTTCTTTTTTTTTAACCTTATTTGTGCTGTCAGAGGCAATAATTTCGGTATTCCTTCCATTTCAAACTTCTCGCTTGAACTTCCAGTAAGAGGCAGAAAGTGCTGCTCCGTTTCTGGCTCGTGTATTACGGTGGAAAAGGCCCTTCTACGTTGTTCTGGCTTTGTAGTAAAGGTATTGTAACCAAGATTCATGATTCTTTCCAACACTTGACTTTGTCAGCCTGCTTTTTCTTTCGTCAACATTTGCTGGTTCAATCATAAGTATTAATTGTATTTGTATTTATGAACCTGAAAGTGGAGTTTGCACACAGTCCTCTACCTCGGAAGCAGTTACCTGGAGAATGCTAGTAGTTGGTGTAGATTACATTTTACTTACCTTGAAGCATTAGAATTTGGGGAAATAACTGTTAATTGGGTGTTCTAGTCTGAGAGAGAAACTGTAATTGTATCCATTGAACTCGTAGATTAGAGGCTGGGACTTGTGTTTATCAGTGTCTGTCCCGCTTATTGCATCTCATCACAGATACACTAATGGGGGATGCAGGCAGACCTTGGCTTCTGTGCAACATCTGTTGCCATGAAAAAACTTTGCACTTCAGAGAGTGGTTTCTTTTTCTGTGTGCACCGGACACACAGGACAAAACTACTTCACTATTATGTATGTTGAAAACATACATAATGTTTTACTCATCGTGGCAAGCTTTAAAAACTCTCCTGGATGATGGTACTTACTTACTTCATAGGTCACTACGTTTTAATAATGCTGTAAGCTCATCATAGCTGAAATAATAGATATTTTTAGTGACATTGTGAGGTATATACTTCTGAACACAACTTTCATTTAAAAAGATACTTTTTAATGAATGTGATTTTTTCTTTGCCTAACAGTCATGCCAAAGACACTATGTATTGCCTATTATTAAAGTTTGCTATAAAGGCCTTTTTTTATACATGAGTGGTCTTGTGTGCTCAGTTTTGCATTGACTTGCACTCTGCCGAACCCCACTGCATTAGTGAGGCGTTCCCCCTTTTTTTAAAATTTTCTGATTGCACTGAACTTTAATGGTGCAGCTCTGCCCACGTGAAATACATTTTTAAAATATTAATTAAACTTAAAAGCCACATTGCTTACATAGATGTTACCTAGAGCTGAGTATTCCTTTTCAGTACAAAATGCTTGGGCTAAGGCTGCATGAGAGAGGTTGTAATTGGGTGCAATTTTACCAGGCATTTTGTTTTTCCATGTTGCTTTGTATATGTTACTCTCAAACTGTCTTTCTGGTGCCATTGTTTACGTCTTGCAATTTAGGATGCTGAACTACAAGGCAAAGGGAAATACACTGTGTCATGTAAGCAAAACAATCTGAAAAGAAATAACTTTCCTAAGAGAAAGTCTTATGAATTGTAAGATTTTTTTTTCTCAATTATTGGAAAACCTATCTCAGTTATTACTTAATTATTTAAATTGTACTGACAGGAAAGACCTGCTATCTGGGAGAAATTTTTAAAAAAATTAAAGGGAGACATGTTACAGTGCTTAAAATATAATTGATAAAAATCCTTTAATTGATTTATGAAATAGTGAATTTAAAAATGGAATCATATTTCATCTGTTGATGTCTATGTGAAAAATTGACATTGTGTCCTCATAAAATTGGACAAATGAGTCATGTAATTTTCAGTTACATAATCAATAACTTAGACAAATTCTACTTCTTTGATGATTTATGTGTCTGTTTTGTGGTCAGCTTAAAGTGGACACAGAGTTTCAAATCCCTGTAACACTTGTAGACCTGTAATAAACACGCAAATTTTGCATTCGGCATTGTATACAAAGCAAAACTAATCAATACACAGAACCTCTCTGCTCAAAACAAGCAGACAAAGAAGATGAATAGCACAGAGAGCCCCAAAACCACCAGCCTGCCAAGTACTGTGGAAACTTGGTCCTACTCTGCCACTAGTGAGCTCAAAAACCATCCTTTCATCTGAGGCGTGTAATTTAGGGATGTTTGTAAGTGGTATTTTCCCCTGATTTTAGGCTTTGAATTTTCCAAGTTGGAAATTTTATGCATTAATAGTACAGCGTTGTGTGTTAATATGACCAGCGATGGCGTGGGTAGGTTTTAAACTTTGTCTTGTTTAATTTTCCGTTTTCCTTTGCCCTTCCCCCTTTGTTTATTTATTTATTTGCCTGTTTGTTTATATTTATCCCAGTTCAATTCACTCAGCAGGGAGGGCAGGGGAGTAACATGACAGGAGACCACTTACTCACGGTACCGCGTCTAGCGAGGAGGCAATTTTCTCTTTGGCCTATGGTGACCTTTTTTGACTACGTCCCTTATGCCAGAGACAGTGTCCTGAATGCCTCTATTTCACCCTGTTTAGCAGAGTGCAACCGTGCCCTTTAACTTGGTTTTTGGTGGGAGGAGAAGCTACGGCAGGCATTTGAGAAGGGCACAAGGACGAGGGGTAGGAACTGCCTTCAGATGCGATTTTGATAACTAGTCGAGTGTGTCCAACTGTAGAAAATCACCAAGTGACAATCTGTCTACCTGACAGTGGCCACAATGTGCTACAAGGTTTGTGAATGGCTCTACAGATTAGAATAAAGCAAGCCCAAATAAAGTGTCTTTTGTTGGTGTGGGCTTGGTTTGCTCTGGCCAGCTAGGTATGGGGACCTCTTTGATCCTCATGCCTAGCCCAAGTGCAAAATGAAGGACCAAGTGAAAAGCTGGAATAAAGCTGTTCAGTTAGATAATTAATATAGACATTTCCAAAAAGTAAGTCTTTATTAAAATTTACTTTTAAAGGACAGCTTGATTTTGACTGGGAACCCATGGTAACTTTAAGGACTCATCTGCCAAATGCACGTGCTTCTCTTTTCTCCCTGTGTTTGCGATTATATCTTCCACGAATATTACAATTCTTGTGTGATTTGCCATCATTTAAAATCATAATAAAATGATTGGCTGATTTATTCAAGATTTATTTCTCATTCATAAATTCATGTATTTTTCAACCGGCTCATTTTCTGAGGCACAAAAATGCAGCTGGTATGCTCAAAAGCATCCTGCAGGTCACGAATTTTCTCTCGGTTTGTTGAATACAGGACATAATCCCAGTGAAGTTTTAGAGCAGATTTAAAGATGTACTTAAAAGTCATCCCCACAGTAAAAGATTTGACTTGTAAGCAATACTACTGAATCAGTTTTGGTATTGATTCATTGTTACTGCCGCTGTTGGCTTCTGCATGGTACGCTTGTTGTCAGCTAGACAAAAGGTTTTACTATTTTGAACTGTGGTGAATAATTTTCCCATGCTTTCTTTAATATATATATATATACATATATATATGAAATCCCTCCATCCTTTTTATTTTAAAGGTTTTTACTGGCTGAGTATAAAGCTTTTTATTCATCATTATGTAGAGTTCTTAAAATAATATTTTGCTTTTAGTTCTCTTACTGTTTTCTGAAAAAGTCATATAAAGTGCTTATGAATAAAACAACATATTAATTTTAAAGGTAAAACAGGCAACTTTTCTGACACTGAGGGATGTGTATGAGCATAAGTGCACGTACAGACACATATTCACACATCCATATCCCTTTAATGACAGAAATTAAACAAACAGAATATTCTTAAAATACCCTTCTTTAAATTATGTTGTGTGAACTTACTGAAATAAATATAGAAGTTTTTAAGAGCATTAAAGTAAATGCAAAGCATTTTCAAGCATTAAATCTCCCTTTTCATATTTCTTCTTTTTGTGCATGTGTGTGTGTCTCTTCTAAAACAGGAAGGCTACGGAGTAATAGTACTGAATCCCAATGAGAACTATATTGAAGTGGAGAAGACAAAAGCCCAAGTACAGCTGTCTTCTGATAGCTCAGATGAACCTGCAGAAAAGAGGGAAAGAAAAGATAAAATCCAGAAGGAAACAAAGAAGCGACGTGACTTCTACGAAAAGTATCGAAATCCACAAAAAGAAAAAGAAACTATGCAGATGTATATTAGAGTAAGTTTCTTTTGGTTTTGTTTGCCCTTCTTTAAAGATGTATAGATATGTTTACTGTCCATATTGTCTAAAAACAGCATGCTTTTTTAAAAACAAACACATTACCGAGATGGCATTCAAGAGTTCATACAGAGTTCCTGGCTCTTTATTCTATTGATATTTTTTGTCACTTATTGAATGTGAAGTTTTGGAAGAGTTACAAAACATTCCTTTCTAATTTCAAAGGGGAACTTCAAATAAACCCCAGAGGAACTCACTGGTGCTATCAAGAAAGAGAATGATTTAAGGAAGACTTTGTAAAAATGATTTTATAAACAGAGGTGTACATAAGAAACACTTTCTAGTGCAGCTTAGGCAACATATTAGCTTCACATGTCATGCGTGCATTTATTGTATTATATTGTCTTATATTGGGGAGGCAGTAGTTATAGCCTGATAGTTTTTTAACATATTACCTGCTGAATTAATAATGTATTGTGGAAAATACTGGTGTTCATCTTGTGTGGTAGCAGATTTACCCTATAATGTATTGTTTTCATATGAGCAGCCATCCATTGTGTTTCAACTGAACTTCTGAAGGCAGATAAAGGGGGAGAGTTATTAATATCTTAATAAATATTTAAGCTAGAATAGTTCGAGAATGGTGTAATGAGGAAACTCTGTCCCTTGCTCTTTTCTTACTCAGTGAACCTTTGCACTTGGTAATGCTACCAGCATGGGATCGTTATAACAGTGCTACCCGAGGATTTCTAATTCTGCAGGGGGCACAAACAATATTATTTGCACTTTGACACATTCTGCTTCATATACATGCTATGTATTATACATTCGAGACTGAGTCATGCAATTTCCAAAGCCTTTATTATGAAAGTTAGCATTTTCATTCAACGGTAAAACATGTCGAAAACACCACAGCGTAGTTAAAACAGTAAAAATGTATATGCCTTTCTGGTGCGAAACAGGGAAAAATCCAGCAAAAGGGATGTTAGAATCATCTTAAATTTTAACAAGTTCCTTTTAATTGTGGTTTAGCATAACAGTGTTTGTTAGAGAAATAACAGCTGTACTGGCTAGTTAAAAGGGTTTGTAACCTGGATGTGAGTTTATCCTAATACCATAAATTCTACTGTGTCTTTTGAGAAATACCTTGCTACTGAGTATGGGAAACAAAAGGATGTATATACATATTCACAATCATCAACAGGGCACTGCTTTTTCTGTCTGCTGCTTTTTATGAGAGATGGCATTCTGCCCACCAGCCAGATCCTGCTGCTAAAGAGGGGTGACCAGGCTTATCTCAAGGTCCATCAGAAGCCAGTGGACGATGTTGCTGTATTGTCCAGAAGGGCGTTCAGTCAGCATGCTCGTCCAGTGTCCCCTTGTTGAAAGTGAACCTTTTTTTAATACCTTTTTAGCAGTTCCACCTTCTCGTGGCTCTTTTGCTTGATGAGGCATGAAATTTGGCTTCAGTAGGTTTGACCCCCGAAACATGAAATGCATGACTCCATCCCATTTTCTTTTTTGCACGGCTCCATGCTTCAATATGACTGTTGACATTCCCTTTATTTGAATCTCTTCAAGCCAAGGAAGGAAGTAGCATAAGTTTTAGTGAAAGTTTGGATGGTGGTCTCCTTTCCTGGGTGAATTAACTGAAATCGGGTTTTCTGATGCGGTTGGTGTTTTATTCTTAAAGAATTCTTTGGGTTTTTTCTTTAATAGTCTCTAATACAGAGAGTTTTTTGAAACAAATGAAAAATGTCCCTGCTTTGGTGTGTGTGGCAGGATAAATTACTGCAATTTATTTGCATATTGGTGGTCCAACAAACCTGGACCGCCCGTAGGGTGCCATTTACTCTGTTGGACAGAACTGCTAAGTCTGTAAAAACTTTGGTGGCTGCAAGAGGAGCTGTGAATATACTGTGCTCTGGTCCACCTTCCTGGCCACAGACATAGTTGTCTGTCTGTCCAGGCATCACACGATGCAAAATGGTACAATGCCATAGTTGCAATGTATTTCTTGCCTCCCGTGCTTGGGTCCATAGGATTACGTGTGCTACAGGAATCACCGTTCGTTTGTACCCTGGGACTTGCTGCCAGGCTTACCGCAACCACAGGCTGCTGGAGGGTACGGTGTTGGAGCTGGTTTGGGGTAATCTCAAAGGGCAATTTAGATATGACTTTTACTTAAGTGTGTAAGTAAAAGTCTGGGCTCTCGAAATAAAACATATTGTCACTCCACAGAAATATTTAAGGATGGTATATGCTTCGTAAGATCTCATCAAAAAATTTTTCACAACTTGAGTAAACCTTAAGTTATCTTTGCCAAGCAGGGCAAACTGGGACAGAGAGACTAGATGAAAAATATCCTCACAAGAAGGCATCTACTGCATCTTAACATTGAAGGAAAATTTGTTTGTGTCAAATGTGTTGGAGAAATTGTTTCAGACTGTTAAGTAGTAGGAATAAATATCCCCAGTTATGTTCTCATAGGGTCATTGAGATCTGTTGTGATCCGATGAGGAAATGCCATTTGAACAAATTAAAGCCATCTGAATGATGCTCCCACTTGTGCAGTTAGATTTTCCAAGAACTGGAAAAATGGAACTCTTCCATGGTAAATTTCTTTAAGTATTATATTTATTTTCACAGGAAAAAAAAAACAAATAGCTAAGTTATTCAAGAATATGTGAAATATGTAAAAGCAGAGTCTTAAAATACAAAATCTCTAATTGCTCTATATTTTTGTACAAAATAAGTATAAATAAAAATGACTATGGGAGTGTGTAGTGCATTAAGCTTGAAAGATCAAAGTACTTATTGTTTCATGCTGGAAGTTTCCTTAACTATGAAATAATGTACTTTCTGGCATACATTATAGCTTGTTAAAGGGACTGATTTGGTCTGGGCAATAAAATAATGTCAAACATTATGGCAGAAAAACCTGCTTAATATGTTTTGTAATAAGACAGAATTTTTTGTTCTTGAAAACATCTGCCAACTGAACTCATGAGTGAAGACAGAAAATGTCATCAATTCAGTAACAATCTTATAAATTTGGTTTCTTTTTTGGCGATGCAAACCAAGGAAAAAACTTCTTGATAATCAGCATTGACTATAATACTTTATGGAATGATTAAACAAAAGCATTTTACTTTTATATAACATGCTAATGAATGCATATGAATTTTAATACTCTTACTGTTCAGATTTTAACAAGCATATTGCCAGCAGATCATTTTAAAAGCATCTGTTTTTTAATGTGTTGAATGGAGGATTGAGTCAAAAAGCTAAATATGTACATACATCCTTTTAAAAAACATATTTCTGTCCTTACTTATAGATACTACCATTTTTTCTTAGACCACCAGAGGCTGCTGCTGTACATATTGGCTAGTGCTTCCCCCCAGAAACTTAATACCTTAGCCAACCTTCATTTATTACTGAACTAAACTGAGAATTTGTTGATCTCTAACCTTTTTCTATGGAAACAGATCATACAGGCTTACATGTGACATGATTATTCCCTCCATCCTCCAAGCCATCTCCCACTCCCTACAGATTTTCACATTGACAGTGTCTTCTCTATGTTAAAAGACACTTAGAAATGTAAATCAGTATTTATCCCCTTCTAAATAGCATTCACCACTTAAACAAGTATACTGAATGGATTCTGAAATGTTATTAAAGAAAAAAGTATAAATCGCATAATTTTATAATAATTTGCAATAGTGTTGTTGCCACAGTAGCCAAAGGATATCAAAGAGGCCACAAAGGAAGAAGTAGGAAGAAGTAGTACCTTTTATCAGACCAACTGATGGGGTCACGTTTTGTGGGCAAAAGGAATAAGCCTTTCCTAGGCCTGTATGCTAGGAATTTTGTCCTTTTTTTCCACCTAGCTTAGCTGCTATAATAATTCTTACTGCAATTATTATTTTTATTGTAGCACAATCTATAACAGCGCTATTTATACTAAGAGCATATCAATGAAATTAAATTAATTTTGGGTGTAACATACTTTTCATAAATAATTTTTCCCATTTTCTGCAAGAGATTAAATAGAAAAAGATCATGTGCAACTAATTAATTTGTTTTACTAAAAAAGGATGCATGAGGATAATTTGTGCCAGTATTTAGGAGAAAGTGGTAAAAGGCAGGTTTATTAATATACGGTTAAGTACGCAGTGACTGCTGGTGGGCAGGAAATCCTGGCAAGCGTGCAAGCACAGTTGTGCCATTTCTGCTTATTGTTCGGTACGGCTGACACGAGGCATCGCCTGACTGAAGGTCACCACAGAGTGTCCGCTTGTGCAGGGTGACCTTTCAGTGCAGCAGATTTATTTCACGTTGGAGATGGAGCCGTTTCCCAGCGTAGCTGTGGTCCCGCCAGCTGCACGGGTCTGGCCCCATGGCTGTCCCTGCGCAGATGCAGGCTCCCTCTGCCTACCCTGTGACTTGGCAAGGTACGCGCCTGCTCTCCTCCAGAGCCTGTGTGACTGCATTAGCGTGCTGCTGAGACCAAGCTAATAAGCCCTTTATTCCACCAGAAGAGACAAAATGACAAGCTGTGATGGTTTTGGCTGGGGTAGAGTTAATTTTCTTCATAGTAGCTAGTATGGGGCTGTGTTTTGGATTTGCGCTGGAAACAGTGTTGATAGTACAGGGATGTTTTCGTTACTGCTGAGCAGTGCTTACACCGAGTCAAGGCCTTTTCTGCTTCTCACCCCACCCCACCAGTAAGTAGGCTGGGGGTGCACAAGGAAGTGGGAGGGGACAGAGCTGGGACAGCTGACCCCAAATGACCAAAGGGATATCCCATACCATATGACGTCATTCTCAGCATGTAAAGCTGGGGGAAGAAGAAGGAAGAGGGGGACATTTGGAGTGAGGCATTTGTCCTCCCAAGTAACCGTTCTACGTGATGGAGCCCTGCTTTCCTAGAGATGGCTGAACGCCTGCCTGCTGATGGGAAGTAGTGAATGAATTCCTTCTTTTGCTTTGCT